GTGGGTGACGAACTTCACTGTATTGGTGAAACTCATCCTTAATGTCGAGCCTCGCTGCGTGGTGAGCCTCGTCTTTGACTTCGAGCCTCACTATGTGGCGAGCCTCATCTTTGACGTATGTTGAGTCTCACTGCATGGCGAGCCTCGTCTTTGACGTCGAGCCTCACTACGTGGCGAGCCTCATGTTTGATGTCGAGTCTCACTGCGTGGCGAGCCTCGTGTTTGATGTCGAGCCTCACTGCGTGGCGAGCCTCGTGTTTGATGTCGAGCCTCACTGCGTGGTGAGCCTCGTGTTTCTTTGATAATGAACTTCGTCTTCACTGACGAGCTTTAAATCTGATGACAAGCTTTGTTTTCATTGGCAAACTTCACCTCCGATGATGAACTCCGAACCTCATATCCAATAACAAGCTTCGAACCTCGTTTCCAATGACGAGCTTCGTCTTTGATGTCAAGTCTCATTTCCAATGATGAGATTCGAACCTCGTTTCCAATGACGAGCTTCACATCTTGTTTCCAACAACAAGTTTTGTTATTTGAGACGAGGTTCATCATTGTAATGACTCTCGTCATGCTCGTTATGAGCTTCCACGTTCTAAGGCCAAATGATTAGCCAGTGATCTATGAAGATCCATGAGAGTGGAGGAGAGATAGGCTTTTTGACTAGCCTCTCAATCCCCTCCCCCTTTCTTTCATGTTGATCATGCCTATTTATAGGCTTGAGAGTATTATGAAGTGAGTTAACGGGCTTTAACTCCTTTTAAATGAGGGAGTTAATGATCATTAACTCCCATTTAAATGGATGAGTTAGTGGTCATTAACTCTCCTTAAAGGGGTGAGTTATTGGTCATTAACCCTCATTTAATGTAGCCCTTTGAAACGATGCCTGACGAAGTTCGTTTACCAGACGAGGTTTGTTTGCCTGACGAGGTTCGTTTTCCAGACGAGGTTCGTCCGTCTGATGAGGTTCGTCCGCCTGACGAGGTTCGTTCACTTGCTATATCTTTGGTGAGCTTAACTATGGCTTTATCTTTAGCGAACTTCATCTTCAATGACGAACTTCGTTTCTAAGTGAACTTTGTCTTTTGATGGGCAAGATGTTGTTTGCCCTATTGAACTGAGACAAACTTTATGAATTGAGGCTGAGGTTCGTCGTTGTGACGACCCTCGTCATACTTGTAGTGAGGCTCGACTCTCTTTCGTTTCTTGGCACTTTTTAGTGTCTATAAAACCCCCTACAAAGTTTTCAGACCCAAATTAGGTTGTATGAGTCTGGAATACTTTGAACTCTCTTGGTTGTGGCGAGCTTGGCTTATACGACGAGCTTGGCCTCCTAGCGAGCTTGGCCTCTTGGAGAGCTTGGCCTCTTGGCGAGCTTCAATGCTCCGGGGTGAACTTCATCAAACTCATGTGGGACTGACAATCAAGACTTAGGATTTTTAGCAAATCCTCAGCTATCAACGGACTTGATTTGTCTTTACCAACTGCCGTTTGAGTTGGACTAGCCATGCTTTTGTCCTTAGCATGGTAAGTTGTCGAGAAGTTTCTCTTAGACTTAATGCTAAGATTTCTTCTCCATCCTTAGCCGTTCAAAGCATTAGATTAAGTGTTAGAGTTTGATTGTGTCGTTCAATGTAACAACTCAACCTGGTATTTTGAAAGCGAGGCTCATCGCATGGTAGGCCTGCTGGGATGATGTGGTATCGTTGATGAAAAGTGACTCATCACATGGTAGGTACTTATTTGGAAACAAGGGGGAAGATAGGGGCTCATCGCTTGGTAGGCCACTATCGTTGAACAACGTCATTTGCGGGAATGACGGTGTGGAAATGATCAAGTCATTCAGTGACATGAGAGTATAACGACTGTGATCGAGACAGAGGCACATCGCATGGTAGGCTAATATCATAAACAACATCATTTGTAGGAATGACGGTGTAAAAATTATCAAGTCGTTCAGTGATATGGGAGTATGTTTGCGGAGAAAATCGATTGTTTCATTGCGGGATTCATTACAAACTTCAGACATTTACAACGAAAACAAAAATTAGTCTTTTATAAGACCTTTACACAATAAAAACAAAACAAAAGTACAATTCTCTTCAAACAGCGTAGAGATCGTTTATCGGTCTTCCGCTTGCGTGGGATCTTAGCCTGTGACGGGGATGTTGATATCCGTGGACCATCGTCGATCAGATCTGATTGCTAAAAAATCGGGCAGAGCTTCGTCGATTCGCGAAGGAATCAAGAAACCGTAGCGCTTATCTCGACAATGGAGAGATAATTGCTCTTCTTAAGATTATCGCAACGGGATAATCTTAAGGAACGGACCCGGGGAACTGCAGATTAAGATTATCGCAACGGGATAATCTTAAGGAACGGACCCGGGGAACTGCAGATCTGACGAGCTCCTCTTCTTTATGCCGACGAACTCGATCCGATCTCTCCTCCTCCTCTTTGAAATTCGTGCATCTTTAATCTTCAGTCTGGTAGGGCTTCGTCAATTCTCCAAAATTCCAAATCCAAAGAAATAAAGGTCCTGGGGTTGTATTTATAGGCTCCAGGGAATCCAGGCGGTTAAAACCACATAACCATCAAAAATCTGATTTTTTTAAGGCCCAAGACACCCTTGGGTGTCTCAGCGAGGACGAGACACCCTTGGGTGTCTTGGCTTGGACCGAGACACCCTTGGGTGTCTCGTCCTTGGCCGAGACACCTCGGGGTGTCTCGATTGGGCCGAGACACCTCGGGGTGTCTTAGCTCAGGCTGAGACGTTTCGTTTTGCACACTTATCCATTTCCACCGTAACTTCTTCATCCAAACTCGGATTTGAGTGATTCAAAGTGCGTTGGAAAGCCAGCGAGGAGTTCTATAAGGTTCGATGATTAGATCATTGTGGAGTAAGCTAGGATATGAGCGGCGTTTTGCCTTTTGTAAGCGATGCGGGGTTCCTGATTAGTTCGTATCTTCGTTATTCTGAAACTCTGTTACTTCACGTAGTTTGTCGATTCACTTTAAGCGTTCGTCGACATCAATCAAGCTTCTGTGACTTGAATAGTGACGTTCATCGTCTTCTCTTAGCTTTGAGCTGTTCGTGGAGACCTATAGGCAATTTTCAACGCCTACAGATACCCCCTCCAAAGCGTTCCAGTCTCGTTTCTTTTATAGAAGATGCTGGAATACTTTGGATGTGATTGGTCCAGCCTTCGGTCAGCATAAAGGACTTGTAGTTAGCTTCAATTCTTGACTCCTTCAATTTTCAATCTATTCGATGCTTTGACGAATAGCTGAAGTTCTTTCGGCGCTACGTTTATCGTCTGGCCGTCGTCGAAGTCTCAAATCTAAAACTGATGAGTTGAGTTTGGCTCGTGTCATTGAGTTGACTTAGAACTGACCATCTCCGTCGCATCATGCTGACTTAGGGTTTCAGATCGCCATATGTTGACTTTTTGTCACAACACGTTGACCGGTGTTGACCTAGGGTTACGCGTTGGCCGGCATTGACCTAGGATTTTGGATCGCCTGATGTTGAATTTTTTTATCACAACGCGTTGACTGGTGTTGACCTAGGGTTACACGTTGACCGGCGTTGACCTAGGGTTTCAGATCGTCCGATGTTGACTTTTGGTCGCAATGCGTTGACCTAGGGTTTCTAATCGTCCGATGTTTGGGGTGAAGCTGTATCATGCATTGTATACTTGTTGAAAAAGTCACCAACAAAGCGCGTTTATAATCTTACTCCTGAAGATGCGTCAACTGGTTATAAGCCAAGTGTAAGATATCTCAAAGTGTTTGTCTCTATTGCTTATGCTAAAATTCTAGCAGAAAGAAGAAAAAAACTTGATGACAGAGGCGAGAATACAGTTTTTATTGGCTACAAGTCCGGGGCTACAAACTCTACAATCCTACTACAAAGAAGGTGATTGTAAGAAGAAATGTTATGTTTGCAGAAGAAGAAGCTTGGAATTAGGATCTAGAAGCACAAAACAAGTCACAACGTACTCTCCTTGATATTCTTGAAGACGGTGTCCATGTTGCGACTGAAGAAGCACCACCGGCCAATGCTCCTGAAGCTCTAACCCCCCCAAGTTCCATTAGAAGTTGAAATACCAAGAAGAAATCGCCAACCATCAGTTCTCTTGAGAGATTATAAAGTAACTCCAGATGATGATGTTGATACAGATGGAGATATAGTACACTTTGCAATGTTTATAGATTGTGAGCCAGTTATGTTTGAAGAGGCTATACAAGATCTTAAGTGGATAAATTCAATGAAAGAAGAGATAAAGGAGATTGAGAAGAATGACACGTGGGAGCTTACTAATATCTCGCAAGGACATAAAGCAATCGATGTGAAGTGGGTTTTTAAAACAAATATTAAAGCGAATGGCGAGGTTGAGCGGCATAAAGCAAGATTGGTGGCCAAAGGCTACGGGTAAAGACCTGGTTATGATTACTAAGATGTATTTTCCCCTGTTGCTAGAATTGAAATTGTTAGACTAATAATTGCTCTGACTACACAGAAGCATTAGAATATTCATCAGATGGATGTGAAGTCAGCTTTTCTTAATAGGCCACTTGAAACAGAAGTTTTTGTGAAGCAGCCACCTGAATTTGTAAAGAAAGGATGGGAGCATAAATTATACAAGTAGAAAAAAGCCTTGTACGAGATGAAGCAGGCACCACGAGTATGGAACAAAAGAATTGATTCTTTCTTTCAAGAAAGTGGATTTCAAAAGTGCCCCTCTGAGCATGCCTTATATGTGAAGATAAAAAACTCTGGTGATATACTGCTATTATGCCTTTATGTTGACTACTTGATTTTTACAGGCAATAATATTAGTATGATTGAAGATTTTAAGAAGTCGATGATGCATGAATTTGAGATGACAGAACTTGGCTTGATGTCTTATTTTCCTGGCATTGAAGTAGTTCAACGAGATGATGGGATTTTCATATGTTAAAGGAGGTATTATGCAGAGTTGTTAAAGAGGTTTCAGATGTTTGATTGCAATCCTGTTAGAATTCCTTTGGAAGTTGGTACTAAATTATCTCGAGAAGGTGATGGTGCAGAAGTTGATCCTACCAGTTTCAAACAATTTGTTGGGAGTTTGAGATATCTCACATGCATAAGGCTAAATATAGCCTATGGAGTTGGTTTAATTAGAAGATATTTAGAGGCCCCTTGCCAATCTCATCTACAAGTTGCAAAGACAATTATGCAGTATCTAAAGAGGACTTATGATCATGGTTTGCTTTATTCTTCATCTAACAATTGTGTTGTTGTAGGCTATTCTAATAGTGATTGGAGTGGAGATCATGATGATCGTAAAAGCACTTCTGGCTATGTCTTCAATTTTGGCACCATCGCATTTTCATGGTTGTCAAAGAAGTAGTTGTTATGGTGTTTTCAAATGCCAAAGTGCAACTCTTTGCCAGCAACAGACATGTGTATTTCTACATGCAATGCCCCAATCAAAATTGGTGGCCAAGACGACTCCCCGAGTCGACATCTTATTGCGTTGACTCAAAGGGCGGTACTTGTCGGTCCTTTTGTTGAAGATGACTCGCAACGAGCCCACTCGACCAATTATTCGACGCCTCGTGTGGTCGACTCGAAAGTTGTTACTTCACGGACTAGTTAGAGTATAACTTCGACCTCAAGCCTCTCCCACTGACAACGTGTCTGCATCATATTTAATGCTTGGCAGGCGCCACTATGCCTCTAGTCTCGATAGTCTTCATGACTCATCGGGCCACGTCGGCACCGCCATGCCTTCAATCGCTTCTCATTTAATGCTGAGGTGATCTCTCCTCCAGATGCCAGCCGACACTTGTAAAACAAGTGCTGATGCAGCCGCCAACCGATACTCCTTCACCGCCATTCTGTGCTTAGCCACAATGACAGTTCTGCCCTTATACCACTGGTATAAATAGAGGTACTATTCTAACATTGAAGGGGGCTGATCTTCTAAGATCTAATCTCTGACTTAAGCAATACCTGCTAATTGCACTAAGACTGGTTCTTCTTGAATCTAAGCTACCTTAAGCTGTTCTACTGCACTACAGAACTTATGCAGTTCTTCATTTCCCCACTCAAGTTCATCAGCTGACGTGATCGTCGGAGGAACCACGAGGGAACCAGTCCTCGTCCTCTCACGAGCTGTTATTTGTGCAGGCTCAAGCTACTAGACTCAGAACCGGGTATTTAGTGAAGGGAGCGGCCCATCATCAATCTCACCTCACCCAACCGATATAATTGACTGTGTGATCACTTAACATCAATAACAGTCTATTGTTGCACTCTCAAGTTGTGAAGAAGAGTATGTAACAGCTATGTCGAGTGCTTGTCAAGTAATTTGGTTGCGTAATGTGCTAAGTCAGATTCATATTCAAGTTGAAGGTCCTACAAAGATTTATGTTAACAAGTCCGCAATTGATTTGGCGAAGATTCTAGTCACTCATGGAAGGATCAAACAAATTCATACTCGTTACCACTTTTAGAGACAATGTTGAGAAGAACGAGATCGTGTCGATTTATGGCAAGTTTGAAGATCAAGTTGCGGGCATCCTCTCGAAACCTTTGGAGTTTAAAGCGTTTTTCAAGTTGAAGCACATGATGAGAATGAAGACTTTACAGAATTAGGATTAAGGGGGATGTTGAAGTTAATCCTAATTCTAAAAGGATTTGAGTTAGTTATCTCTAGGAATTATAGTCATACTAGAATTCTATTGTGAAACACTTTGTAAAGCTTTTAAATAGGCATTCATGCATCCTTCTACCTAAGAGAAAAAAAAGGCAAAAAAATAAAGATCAAAAACTCCGAACACTGTAACTACTGTATCAAAGAGTTAAAATAGAATTTTTTTTATTTTCTTCTCCCACTAAGGGGCTTTTTGTTTCGTTTCCCCCAGAATCCAAAAACCCACTTTTCTTCACTTTTTCACTTTCCTCCACTTTCCAAAACCCACTTTTCTTCACTTTCTTCACTTTCCTCCAATAATATTATGACAACTCATCCCACTACATCACATTTCATACTTTTAAAAATAAACAAAACACAAGAAATGAGTCACATCAATCAACTCATCTCACTCACTTTCCCCCATTTTTCTTCATTTTCTATCATCTTTAAAAATTACTCACATCATCCAATAATATGGTGACAACTCATCACATCTCATTAAAATTTCCTTCCATCACTTTCCTCCAAAAAATTTTGTAAAATGATTTTCCTATGTATGTGTCACATCATCCAATAATATAATGACAACTCATCTCATCTCATCTATTTTTCCTCACTTTTAAGAATGAACCAAACACAAGAAAAGAATCTAAACAAGGAAAGTGAAGGAAAACATCAAAAATTACTCACATCAACCAATAATATGGTGACACCTCATTTTCTCCCCCACTTTCGGTTATAGCTTTGACGAACCAAACCTCTGAAAGCGGAGGAAAACATCAAAATTCACTTTCTTTTTCCCCACTTTCCCCCACTTTCGGTCTTTTTTTTCGAAACAAACGGGCCCTAAATCTATCCTCGTACATGTTGATTGCTCCAACACGAGTAAGACCCCAAACAGACGAAGTCCCTTTCACTACTCAGCTCGTCTTTATTCCTAACCTATCAGCCAAGTCAGAACTCAAGTAAAACTTAATAGATTCAATAACGTAGGCAATCCTCATACCCCACCATCCCTCATTTTCCAAGAGTTAGCAGCGGCAAATAAAAAAAAGGGGGGAAAAGCCCAATAACCATGGGAAAAGGCCTGATCCGGCTGGCCGTGGCGGTGGCTGTGGTCGGCCTTCTAATTGGCGGGAGCAGGCGCTACGGTCTGGACGCTGAACCGGCCATGGCCGCGTTTCGAGATCTCAGAGATCGGCTAGGGTTTTGGGCGACCCCGATCTATGTTCTTGCTCACACTATAACCCTAGCCCTTTGCTTGCCTTCCGCTGTCTTCTTCGAGGCTGGCGCTTCTCTGCTCTTCGGATTCTTGCCGGCCGTTCTCTGTGTTTTCTCTGCTAAGATTCTTGGGGCTTCTCTCTCCTTTTGGATCGGACGGTTAGCTTTCTATCTTTCTTAGTTTTGAAGTAGGTGTTAGTACTTGTT